GGAACGTAGTTGTTTCTAGTTTGTGATGGAAGAACGAATAAGACCCTGAAACTTGTATATTGTTAAGAACAAATTCTGGCTTCCCCCACCCCCACCAAAAGTATACTGTGCTTCTGATATTTAATCCATTCGCAATATAACTAAGATTACCTCAGAGGAAAACTAATCGATGGGTATTTTTTTTTTCATTTTAAGGCATTAAGTAAATGATTTCTTTTGCTACTGACAGATGAAAATTAATAGCAGAAAAGAAGAAATATGTTTAGCATGTGTTTCTAAAAATATGGGCCTTAAATATATGATTAGTAAGAAACCTAAATTCATTGGTATTGTGTCATTAACAGAAAAAATCAAGTAAAGAAAAATGCAACATATGAGGAATGAAAAAAATTGATATTAGTCTAAACAAAAACATAGGCTATCTGCTAAGATTCTCAAAGAAGCACATCTCCATCTTAAACCTATGTCTTTCTCGTTTTTAGATTTGAGCTCCAGAAGAATATATATTTTGCCCATTATTACTTTATCACGTTTCCTAAACTGAACTCCAGAATGGAGTCTCCACAGGGAGGAGATTTTTTGCCTGCTTTGTTCACTGCAGAATCACCAGAACCCAGAATGGTGCCCGGGGCATAGGAAATGCTCAAGAAATATTGTGGAAATAATGAATATATCCTGTAAGGAAAAATTGGGAAAAACTTCGGCTCATCCATTCATTATGGTCACCTTTACCTGTCAGTGTTCTTAACTAGACTATTTTACAGCTCTGTAGAGAAAGAAGTTAACTTGTAGAAATATGAAAGTAATGCAAATAATTCAATTCCACTGAAATGCACAATCTGTCTAGTGAATGTTTGTGTTCCTTTCCTCACTGTGGAAGATTTTTGGAGGTTCCACTTTGAGGTACAATGGATTCATTTTGCAGAACCAGGTATGGGCAGCTTAAACCAATTCATATCTTCTTTTGGCTCTCACATGTAAATTCTAAGCAACAGAAGAAATTTAACTTTGCTGATACTCTGTATCCCTAGCTTTATTTTTTCTCTACTGATGTTGTGTTTTATGTTTCCGCATTGCTCAGGGCAGATTAAGTTATTCCTCATTGGTGGCAGCAATGATCTGGAGTTTGCCTTTATGTCTTGTCATTTGATAATATCTGTAAATGGATTATCGAGATCTCTGTGAGGTGAGACATGAGAGAATCTAGCTTTTAGTTTTGTTGTTGTTGTTTGTGTATTTGTCCACTTTGAGTTCTAACCAATAGAGAATTCTGTGCTCACACTGAAGGAGCACGGCTATTTTATATCTAGACCTAGGAATGTTTATGTTTTTGAGTTTACTCTTTAATTGTTACTAAAAGTGTAGAATTGAAGTTATATGTTTTCTCTGTCTATATGTTTCTGCTTATAAATCAGAAAGGGCTTTACCTTTCATTGAATAAGTTATGTTTTCCTTTCTCTGGAGGGTATAAGCCAAATAAGATAATAGTCTCTTAAATTAAAAGAACACTGTTCTGATTGAATTATAGAGATAACACAATATAAATCAAACATTTATAAACTTATTTTAAAACAAGGAAATTGGACTTCTAATACTTTAAAATTTCTGGAATAAAGAAATCTTACAGAAACTAAAAAATATTCTGAGAATCCAAATTCACATAGTTAAGGGTAAATGTTAGCAAACAAGACTGATTCAATACTTTTGGTTAATAAAAACAGTTATATGCACTCTGATTTATCAGTATTACATTTTTCTCTCCCATCACATTTCAGGCAAATCAAACTTCTTGAAGTTCTGATCATGCCATGCTGTTCAACAACTGTACAAGCTGATTTCTCTAGTTGGCATTTCTTGCCTGCCTTGACCCAGTGGTAAACTTTCACTCTTTCTGTAAGACTAAGCTCAATAAACACGCAATTTGTGATCACATCTCTTCTAGAAGAGTGTTATCATGTTTTATAACAATAATAATTGTAATATTAATTCTATTGAGCCTTATAGTAGCTATGTGATTTATCCATTTGAACTCATTTAACACACACAGTAAGTGATCTATAAATGTTGGTTCCCTTCTCTCTTCATCTTTCCTTCTCCCTTAAGTTCACCTAGGTTTTTTTTTTTTTTTTTTGAGATGGAGTTTCAGTCTTGTTGCCCAGTCTCAGTGCAATGGCGCATCTCGGCTCACCGCAACCTTCACCTCCCGGGTTCAAGCGATTCTCCTGCCTCAGCCTCCCAAGTAGCTGGGATTACAGGCATGTACAACCACGCCTGGCTGATTTTTGTATTTTTAGTAGAAAGGGGTTTCTTCATGTTGGCCAGGCCGGTCTCAAACTCCCAACCTCAGGTGATCCGCCTGCCTCGCCTCCCAAATGCTGGGATTACAGGCGTGAGCCACCACACCCAGCACCTTCACCTAGTTTTTCACATGTATATCACTTTGAAAGTCATTTGAAAAACGATTTTAAAAATTAGGTGAAGAGAGAATTTTGAAAAATCTTTGAAATGTTAAAACTTAGAATTCAAATGTAGTAATTTTTGAGATTCTATGAAACTAATATTGTGATATTACTAGTGAAAGAATCCCATATTTCATTTTGTAAGTACTTCTTAAGTAATGTAAAATTGTTAATTGTTTAGTAATAAAAAAGAGAAAAAGAGATAAGCAAATTATCCCTGGCAGAACAGTTATCTTGACATGTTTCCAGTAAAAATATAAAACTTTTTCAGGACTATTAAAGTAATGCAAAATTACCTGGAAGAATTATCCCTGTAAAGCCAGGTCCGATACTATAACTCACATTGAGGCTCCCTTCCAGCTCTCATCTGGTGGAGCCATTCCTCCCAAGTGGCTGTCAAAATAAAATGAAAGTGACAGAAAAAGGCTACTATCACCATTTCTAAGGAGAAATTATAAAGTTTGATGACAATATTTCATTCATATATAACACAAATATTTGTCATTTGTGCCAGGTACTGTCAAAAAGTCCCCGCTTTGTGGGGTTCATATTCTAGTGAGAGAAGCCATACTGAAATCAATATGTAAAATATGTAATATGTTAGTGATAAGAGCAAAGAGAAAAAATAAAATAGTGATGGCAAATGGGAAGCCCATCTCCTTATTTTTGACCTTAATTATTTATGTGGGGATTCACTGAATCCAAGAAATCCTAAATATAGGAAATTAATGACTCTATTAAGGAGAATAAATTAATTTTGTAAAGAAGCTGCTGATTACATAGTAGGCACTCAAACAATTATTAAGTTGTGATACTCATACAGGCATTTAAAAATGGCAGTTGAGAGATATGTAAAGAAATGTCAGTTATAGATACAATAATTGTTTACTATATTTTAAATATGGTGCTAAGTATTTTACACATATGATCTCATAATAACATATGAAGGAGAAACAGTTACTAGCTTCATCTTACAAATAAAGAAACTGAGCAGAGAAAGTTTAAGCAACTGGTTCAAGGTCATACCTCTAGTAAGTGGGGGCATTGTCATATTCTTATAATACACGTTGAATATAAATATCTAATGAATACCTATGAAAATTCAATTGCTTGAAAAATCTCAAATCAGAATTATCTTTGGACATAGTTTTGTATGAGAATTTCATTTGCAGCAAACAGAGAGATATTTATTTTTATTTCTTAGTCACCAAATGACTACTTTTATGAAATGAAAAGATAGTATACTCTGTTATACCTATTCAGGATTAATTTAGTTATAAAACTTTATGTTTAACATAAGAATGCCATATTGGTTTTGATGAGAAAATAGACACCTAGTGCAAAATATCTTAATCTCATATCCAACAAGAAAACTATACCGTAATAATATTTCTGCATCATTATATCCAATGGGATGTACAGGTATTTTGGGGATTCCCACTCCTTCTTCAACATCAAGTCTGAAAGTGTATTCTAAAAAATCAAATGCATAAAATGAAAACAATTTAAAAATCTGAGCAAGAGATATACAGGGATTTTTTGCATTACCATTGCAGATTTGCTATACATTTGCAATTATGCCAAAATTAAAAGTTCCCGGCCGGGCATGGTGGCTCACACCTGTAATTCCAGCACTTTGGGAGGCCAAGGTGGGCAGATCATGAGGTCAAGAGATCAAGACCATCTTGGTCAACATGGTGAAACCCTGTCTCTACTAAAAATACAAAAATTAGCCAGGAGTGGTGGTGCACACCTGTAGTCTCAGCTACTTGGGAGGCTGAGGCAGGAGAATTGCTTGAACCCAGGAGGCAGGTTGCAATGAGCCAAGATCAGGCCACTGCACTCCAGCCTGGCGACAGAGCAAGACTCCGTCTCAAATAATAAATAGATAAATAATAATAAATAATAAAACTTCCCCCAAAGTCAGACAATTGTTTTGCCTAATACATCTTACTTAATAAATCATTTACATTTTAAGGTAATGTTAATTATAGAGATGACAGTTTTCCAAATTTGTTTTGACATTTCACATAATTTTCTTGACCTTTACAAGGAATATTTTTATTTCCTCAAGGATCTTTTGAATCTTTCTCAGAGAAACGTTATTAACAAGATGCTTAGAAACTGTGTCCCAGATTCTGAAACTATAAATAATTGGAAAAAAACCCAAGAGAACATATGCAATATTGGGAATAAATGAGAAACATCTTATTCAAATAGTAATGTAATATATTATCATTCAAGGAAGACTGAAAATTATCGCCAGCCCTAAAACCTCATTGGAACTGTGGCTTTCAGCCAAGATAGAGTTAAAGGGACCAAATTTACCTTCATGCCTGAAACACCTTATTTTTTATTCACCTTATTTTATGTAAATGAAACATTTTAAAAATAATAAATTATGTAAAATAATAGTTCTATCATGAGATTTTTATTAGGTAAGTAGCTTCATGAAATAATTGACTGCTGAAACAAAAATTTTAACACTATAATTAGGTAGTAAATCAGTAAGTATATAAGACTTTCATAACACTATTAACTAATTTGACCTATTGACATTTACAGAATATTCCAACCAAAAGCAGAATATGCATTATTTTAAGTGCAAATAGAATATATAATAGATAGACCACATTCTGGGCAAAAACATGTCTCAGTAAATTCTCAGTATGTTCTGTGACCTCAGTGGAATTAAATTAGAATCATATTAGAAAGATACCTAGAAGTCCTCAAATATATTAAAATTAAATAACACATTTATAAATAAACCATGGGTCAAAGTAGAAATGAAAAGGGAAATTAGAAAGTTTTGGAACCAAATAAAATAAAAACACTCAGCCTAGGCAACACAACAAGACCCATCTCTAAAAGTAAACATTAAAAAATTAACTGGGCATGGTGGTACAGCCTATAGTTCCAGCTACTTGGGAGGGGGGCATCCGTGCTTCATGATCCGCTGTTGATTCTTCTAGTACATTTTTAATTTGGCTATTGATTCTTAGTCGGAAGGTCTTTAGTCTTTTATGGCTTTTTGTCTAGTTACAATGGAGAATTCTCTTCTCGACTTTTAGATAAAGCTGAGCTTTTTGTATTGTCTCCTTTTAGCATGTGGAGCTCGTGGTCTGGATATCCTGCCATCCTAGCCGGATTTCGCTGTGTTTGACTGTGTGGGAATGTAGTGTTCAGTCATGTGTTGTAGGACCTGTGCTCTGGTTGTATAGCTATGTTTCAATAAATTTTCTTGGTGATGGAGGCTACAAATATTCTACTTGTTATTTATATCTATGTCTAGAATGAGGGTGTCTGA